GTTAAATCATTTGTTCTATAAAATGCATGTGTAATAGATGGACCACCAACTGCTACAACATAAAACATTAATCTATTTGGAATCATAAATTTATATTTCCCTAATTCATAAAATCTTGCCCATAAAAATGAAAATAATCCAACACTGATTGAAGTTGAAAAAAATGTTTTTTAAATTGCACTATATTATTCATCATCTGCTGGATCTATCATCTTTTTAGCTTATAGAAAAATAAAACATCCTGATGGATTAACAATTTATTTTTCTGACTAAGACATTTAAATTATTATATTTATTTGAATAATGTGTGATGATAAATTAGGTTTATTTTTCATTACTGATAGTTCAAATTACTTTTTAGAAAGGGCTAGAGTATATTCTAGAATTACAAAGATAGCAGTGAACATGTCAGTGAAAACTCTAAATATTAGAATAATTATTATTCAATATGTCTTTAAGAATTAGTATGATATAAAAAAAGATTCATTTAAATCTTGAATAATTTATATATTCTTATGATTGATAGAATAGTAAATAATAGTTTAAAATCAATTAACTTTGGCTTTTAATCGCTAAAATAATTTGATGAACATTTCATTCTATGCTTTTTTTTCTCTTGGAATCTATTTGTTAAATGATATAGTTCTGATTTTGGTATTCAATTTAACATCGTAATCCAGTAAAGATGTTATTGGTAGATGCTCTTTTTATTATACTGTTTTTCCAAAATCAACTGCTGTGGACCTTCTAGATTTTATATAGTTGAAACTCTTCTAAATTTCATAATCTGGCATGGCATCTTTCTCGGCTAATGGTTTTCTTGCTGAATATGATTCAAAAGAGTGAGCATTGTTTGTCTTGGCTAAATCAATTGGTTAATAAAATTTATCAACTGTATCTCTTTACACATCCCTTCTTCCTTCTTATTTTTCAAATGGAATCATCATCTTAATCTTTGGAGGAGGTATTTACACATTTGATATATCCTATGGATTGTTTGATAAACTCATTGATCGTCTTTTTGTCTACTTTTCAAAGCTTACTGTTGGAATATGTTTTTCTATAATATCAAAATGAGGTTTATAATCTCTTTCTGCTTATGTAGCTTAATTCTATTGAGAATAAATGGATCCTTATGATCTATCTATTCTTCTGAATAGCCAATCTCCTTTTTAAACTGTTTTCTTCTCAATTTTAATTGGAGGAATCATACTCACATTCTAAGGATAGAATCTGTTTCCAGTTGTCTTTCTCTGATCTAACCTACGGCCAAATCGAGAAAATGAAAAAGAAGATGTTTTAGGTCTGTCATCATCCATTTTAATTAAATTATGTAAATAAATTATAAGGGATAAGAAATTAAAGTTGGCAATATTGATTTCAATAGTTTGGCTGAAATAATAGAAACGAGATTTGCTTATGAACTTCCATCAATGTATTAAATCATCTATAAGGATGATGATGATAGTAATCCTGTCATAATTGTTGATGATGATTCATTATAAGGAGCTTGTAAAATATTATTAATTTTTTAGTGAATCTATGTCAAACCAAAAATATTGAACTTGTGTTAGAAGTTTAAAATGCAAACATTGATGCATCCAATTACATTCTTAAAAGATAAATTGTATATTATATCCACTTAAAATAGAGTACTGACAAATCAAATATTTATTAAGAAAGTCTTCATCAAATCAATTAAAAACTTAGAGAATATAAAGAATAATAATAATTTTAAGAAATTCAAGAATCTATATATGAAGTTAAAGATGAAGATCTCACAATTCAAAAAATAATGCAATATTACTAAAAATAATTAACTAATTTTATAATGAATTATCAAAAATAATCAAATGAACATAAAACTAAACATTAACAATAATATTAAGAATTCTATTGTTCCTTGATAGAAAGAATGAACAAAAAATTATTGAATTAATTTGAACTTATATCTTAGTAATAATCAAAGAATACTCAAAAGAATGAAGAATATATAGATGAATTAAAATAATTCTAATGAATAATAAAAATTATAAATTTATGATATTTTTATATCATTAATTAAATGATTTTATATTACTATCAATTAATTTTCCTTTTTACTAATAATAAACAGTTGTCCTTATTTTTTTAAAAGTCTATTAGCATTTAAATCATTTTCTTTTCATCCTTTTCATGTCTATAAACACTCTCTTATGAGTCATGATAATAAAACTCTAATTAATTATTAGCATTAACAATTTTTCTAATAGAAATCCAATGTCTCGGATCCCATGAACATATTCTCTCAATAAGTGATTTCTCTTTTATTACATTAATCAAGAGCCCATATACTTATTGGTCTCGTAATAGTTCAATGTCTATTGTTTATGTCTGATTAATCCACATTAATTCTAAGTTTTCTTTGAGTAAAGCTTTTTCTATTACATTGATATCATAATTTCCAAGATAGTAAGTACAATGAGATTATTTTGTTTGTTATTTGATTTCATTTGCTAGATTTTCAAAATCTGCCCTTGTATACTTATCCTACTAAAGTAAATTGTTGACAGCGTGTAGTCCACATCTTCTGAGGACTTAAGTTTAATGTTATTACATAAAGATAGGTTATATAAAGTGGAAATAAAAATAATTAAATTTTTTAAATAAAATGATATCGTTTGAATTATCAAATATGTTAATTCTAATATCAACAGGTATTGGATTACTATGGGCTGTGTATAATGCATTCAAACTAAACCAAATAAAGATTGGTACACCAAATTAATATAATAATTTCCAGGATGATTACTAAGATCATCATTCATAACTTTTATTAGAAATAGCTTCTCACATTGAAAGTGGAGCAGCTGCATTTTTGGCTGCTGAGTATAGATATATTGGAGTTGTAATTATATTATTAGCATTACTAATTTTTTTTATCGTTGAGCCAGTTTTAGGTTAAGCTTGGACTACTGTTGCATTTTTGGTTGGAGCTTTAACATCAATTATTTCAGGTTCAGATATATAATAATAAATAGGATTTATTGGAATGAGAGTGGCTACTTTCTCTAACTATCGTTGTGCTTACTGTGCATAAACAAAAATGACAGATGCATTTGCAGTTGCCTACAGAGCTGGATGCGTTATGGGTTTTGCATTAGTTAGTTTTGCATTACTAAGCTTAACAATACTTTTAGGAGTCTATATAAATTGGTTTATAAAAGATTACAGAGACTTTTAATAATTATTTGAAGCAATTGCTGGATATGGTTTAGGAGGATCAGTGATAGCGTTATTTGGGAGAGTTGGAGGAGGAATTTACACAAAAGCTGCTGATGTTGGAGCTGATTTAGTTGGAAAGGTAGAAAATGATTTCAAAGAAGACAGTCCAAACAATCCAGCTACAATAGCAGATAATGTTGGTGATAATGTTGGAGATATAGCTGGTATGGGAGCAGACTTATTTGGCTCATTTGCAGAAGCTACATGTGCAGCTTTAGTAGTATGTAGTGTATCACCATCATTTTATTATCATCCAACTACTTTTTATTATCCATTATTAGTATCAGCTGCAGGGATAGTAGTGTAAGAGTTAATAAAATATTAATAGCTGTTTTATAGTATCAATAATTGCATTTGTTGGAGAGAAGGAAAACTTTGATTAAGTATCAAATGCATTAAAATACTAATTGATATTGTCAACTCTTTTAATGTTACCAGCATTGTATTTTGTAGCAAATTTAACTTTGCCAGAGAGAATTTTTGGATTGGCACCAATAGATAGATAACCTATTCATGCATGGCTATGCACAGCGGTTGGATTGATAAGTGGTTGCATTATTGGATTTGTAACTGAATATTATACATCACATTCTTATAGACCAGTATAAGAAGTAGCTTAAGCATGTGGAACTGGAGCTGCAACAAATATCATTTATGGAATAGCATTAGGAAACTTATCAACGATAATTCCTGTTTTTCTATTAGCATTTACTGCATTCCTATCATATTCTCTTTTGTCAATGTTTGGAGTAGCTTTAAGTGCTTTAGGAATGTTATCTACTTTAACTATTGGTTTAGCTATTGATGCTTATGGTCCAGTATCTGATAATGCAGGAGGTATTGCAGAAATGGTTGGATATCCATAAGATGTTAGAAATAGAACAGATTAATTAGATTCTGCTGGAAATTGTACTGCAGCCATTGGAAAAGGATTTGCTATTGGTTCAGCAGCATTAGTATCCTTCTCTTTATATGGTGCATTCATTACAAGAGCATCTAATTCTCTCAATAATCATCCATTAACAGATTTAGGAGTCAATTCTCCATTAGTATTTTTAGGACTTTTAATTGGCGCTATGATTCCCTATTGGTTTTCAGCATTTACACTTAAATCTGTTGGAAGAGCTGCCTTTGAAATGGTTGAAGAAGTAAGAAGATAGCTAGCAGAAAGACCTGGAATAAGAGATGGCAAACAAAAACCAGATTATGACAAATGTATTGCTATCTCAACCAAATCTTCTTTACAAGAAATGTTTGCCCCAGGATTATTAGTCATTCTTGTACCTTTGGCATTAGGATTATTCCTTGGTCCTACAGCTGTAGCTGGATTATTACCAGGTATTTTAGTATCTGGAGTCTGCATGGCCACATCTTCTGCTAATTCAGGTGGTGCATGGGATAATGCCAAAAAGTTTATTGAAGCAGATCTGTGTGAAATAGGTAATTTTATATTATGATTTTTTTAGATTAGATTGTTAAAGGTAAAGGCACTGATGAACACAAAGCAGCTGTTATAGGAGACACTGTTGGTGATCCTTTAAAAGATACTTCTGGTCCCTCATTAAATATTCTAATTAAATTAAGTGCCATATTTTCTTTGGTCTTTGCTAATGTTTATGATAAATCCGCTTGGTTATTATGTGCTATGACAACTATGAGTAGTGGTTGTCCAGCTTGATGCTAAAACCGTCATGAAAAATATCAAATAAATCAAATTATTTTATCAGCTCATTTTATTTTTAATATTTTAAATAAATCTATCAAACTGATTTTTTCTTATTCAAAATTCGATAAAATTATTAATACATTCAATATCCATTTATAAGATATAATAATAATTCTCTATTCTAACTATCAATACTATATATTAGTTTAAAATTCTATTATTTAATATAATAAGATACCCAAAATATATTGCTTTTCAAATGATTATAAATTTTGAATTATATCGTTGAGATAGTATAAATTTTTATGTTTTCCTTTTAGTCTTCTTTTTTCTGGATGATTAAATTATTGTGAATTAACTTTTTTATAAGTATCAATAAACTTTTTGAATAATAAAAAAACAAATATAATCATTAAGCATGCAATGTTTCAAGTTATATGTGTTATTGACGATCCTAGTGACCTATCAATAAAAATGATCTAAGTTTTATTTTTAAGCATTAGAATAGGATTTAGAATAAAAGCAGAAACAATTAAATATTTATCCCATAAATGAATGTCATAATTATAAGTAAAATTACTAAAAATGGCAAACATCTATTATTTTAACAATAATATTTACACTAATGGAAGATGGTAAGGTATAAGTTATTTTGAGTAACCAATAATGTGAATTTCGACAATATTTAAAATGAGATAAGTAAAAATCTATGATGTTTAATATATTACTATACAGTTATAAAGAAGAACCATGAATGCATCAAATACTCTTATATAATGAATAGTATCCAATTGACTGTAAATTCTAACATTGTTAAAATTTCAATTCTTTTTAAAATAACCTTTTGGTTTATGTTTAACATTTAATTAGTGATCATTTTTTATTGTTATTATTAATAATTCTCATTTTATTTTTATTTTCAAATTAACAATTAATTTAATTTTTATATGTACTCACATCCCTCAGGTGCTAAGTCTTCAGCCTAAAGTACTCCATATAAAACAAAATATCATCATCCAGAATAAGAGGAAACTATATCTGAAGATGAATCACAAATTAATAACATTCTCAAAGCCTTAAAGCAATAGTAAATATTAATAATATTTGAATTTTTTCATTTTTAGATATCTTATATTGGATAATACACTTAATGAAAAAGAAGAAGAGAAATCCTAAATTTTAGAAGATGTTCAAATTTTGAATCAGAGATTGCAATAGCTAAATAAATCGATTGCTATTAAAAGATAAAAATATGAAAAGTGCGATAGAACTTTAAAAGAAGCAGAGTCTGCATTTGCAACTATCGCTGATTCTACTAAGTCTCTATTACAAATAGTTAAAAGTAATATAGGAGATATAAGCAAAAAATAAAAAAATTGATTTATTAAAAAATTATCATTTCTAATAATTAAGAATAAAAAATATCACATTTTTTTTTAAATTTATTAATGGTTCTGAGAAGATTCACTCAATAGTATAAAAGTCTTTATGCATTTTGCAAAGTTGAATCTTATACAATAAAACCTTAGAATACAGTGATAGATTACAAGTTTTATAATAAGATTATATTTAGTTAGAACATTAACTTATGATCCATAATAGAAAATTAAATTTGATTCAACAAACAGATCATTACTATATTATTACAAGCCTTTGGTATAGAAATTTTAGATATATTATTCAGCTCTGGACGTATTAATTATAATATTGGATGTATTTATTTCCTATGGTATTGGTTGGTAATGTGATAAAGCATAATCCTTGTAAGATATAATTTTAGATGTTAGTTTATACAACATTTCCTGCAGCATTGCCAATGATGTTTACAGTTGAGTTTTGGTGTAAGAATATTAACTAAAATAGTGTTTTTGAGATGGTTTAAGAAATTTAAATATTTGAGATATGTTGTTTCAGAAGTCTACTTACACAAAGATGGTCAAACTGTTGAAGTAGTATTTGAAAAGAAATTTTGGGTAAATCATAAACTCTCTATATATAAATTAGAGAAAAGTAAAAGAATAAAATGTTACCCAAATATTTTATGTCACAAATTTGAAGACTTTAGCTGGAGATGATAAGAGACCATTAAAAGGAAATCTATTTCCAGACTAATGGCCTTTTTAAAAAGGAATGTCTAAAAAATGGAGATGGTCATATGTTAAATATTATCTAAACTAAAATAACTTTTTAGTATTTCCATCTAATCCAAATTATGTTAATGCCGAAGTAGATATCAGTTTCTATTTTTATAGATTTTAATTGCTGTAATGAATGGAAAGATTATAAATACATCAAAATAGTATGTAGAAGATGTTTAAGGGGATATGTTACAAATGATTTAAGAAGAAAAAATCAAATCAGATTCTATTATTTGATTAAGCATTATTATGCATTTAACATTTATTATTAGAGTTAAATATTACAATCTAGAATTAATATAATATATTTATATCATCATATTCTATTATTTATGCTATTGCCAATCATGCATTACTACTATAATTATTTTCATCTTCTTCTTCTTCTTCGGAATAATAATACTCTATTTGGGAATTTTCTAATTAAAATTATTTTAATTTAATAATGTATACTTTTTAATTTTGATGAACTTCTTGAGAGACTTGGAGGTAAATCTAGATCTTCAAATTCATCTACTTTATCATCTATAATGTTTTCTTCTAGTAAAGAATTTGTTAAAAAACTTGAAACATAATAAAAATTCTGGAGATATTCTGGTAGAATCTATAATATTAATTTATATTTTTTTTACTCTAGGCACTTCTCTTTCATTATTTAATAATTCCACATCTCTATCTCTAGTAATGACTTTGACCAAGGCTTTATCATAATAATTGGAATATTCATTGAAAACTTGATATAGCTTAGAAAATTAAGCATCTGCTAAAATAAATTATTTTGCAGCTTTAATAATTTCATCTGGAACTTCATTTTATTCTACATTAACTAAATTTAAGTATTAAACTTATTACATTTAGTATTTGAAAAAGCTCTATGTATTCTTGAAGGTTTTTAAAAATCAAGAAATTCTGGCTAAAAAAGAAATTGATTTGTATCATCAAAAGATACTAATTATTCAAGATTCATTTGAGAAAGTGCTACTTTAATGATTTCTTACAAAGGATCAGATTAATATTTATTTTTTTCTTTAATTAAAATTTCTTCTATATCTAAATTGCTTTCCAAACACAAATTAAAAAATCTTTGAGCATCATTTAGATTAGAATCCCCTTATGTTTCAAGATGCTCATTATTTTAAGATGATGATATAGAAATACGCTCTTATTTAGGAGATTTTGGTCTTGAAGTTGTATACACTTGTATAATTTATTCTTTATTTGTTTATACAAACTTCTAAAGATATTAAAATTCTAGATAATAATATAAGGATGTATATATATGTTCTCTCTAAAGATTTTCAATTTTGAACATAAAAGCTTCTGGCACAATTTGCTATAGAAATCTAAAAATGAATTAATAAATTTATCATTTTTACTCCTAATCAAATTTTATAAATTCTATAAATGAAATAATGTTTGATCCAAATACTTATCTATTCTCATCATAATATAAACTAGTTTCATATTATATTTTCTCACTTAATTATTCATAAAATTCTTCATAACAACAATCTTTATGACCTATCCAATGTACAGATACCTAATTTAATAATTATAATTGACTTCACTAATTGAGATATCTTAAATTGATAAACAGAACTTTCTTAATAGATCTATTACTTCAGTATAGAATTAATGGTTAGTATCAATTTAAAATTGATCTTTTTCACTAATTCTTTGCTTAAGTAAAAAATTATCATAAATTTCATAAGTGATTTAAAATGATTAAGTATTTTCAAGATCTTCACTAACTCCTTAATCGAATTCTTTTTTGAAAATTAGTTATCTTTATGCAGAGAGTAAACGAATAAAACATTGTAATAAAATAGCTTAGAATTATTCATTCCGAATTATCTTTTGATTAATTTGAAGTTTACATATTTTATCCATAATTTAGTCATAACTCTCCAAATTGAAAATTTTGGATATTAGGGGTATTTTGGGAATAAATTTTAATGTAACTCATTAATTATATTCTCAAAAGGATATATTTATGTTGATAAATCCATTATGGCATTACTATATGCTTGCCAATACATTACATATTCGCTAAGCAAATCAATACTGTTTATGGTATTAACATTTATATATACACTAAAATACTTTTATAACCCTTCCAAATAATATTATAATGAAGTATAAAACTCTTCCAATAATTTTAAAATACAAATTCCATCTTGTTCTTCTTCATATAATACTTATTGTTTTTCATTATCAACAATGCCAATTTTTTATAGACACAATTATTAAAATTCACATGACTAATTCTATAAACTCCATCTCCACTATAAAAATTAATTTTTAAGTTATTCATTGTGTTCCAACTTTTCCTATGCTTCTGCTAGAATTTAAGATTTATTTTGTTTTAATTAATTCATTAGCTTAACCTTAATTGTATATTTACTTCATTCTCAATAAATTAAAACTCAAATAACTTATCAAATCCTTTCTGTTCCAATTCTAAACGTTAAGCTAACATAATTTGAAAGTCTGATTCACAATGTATTCCTATGGTTTCTCTTTTTAAAATAGGCTTAGGAATTATAGGCTCACAAAGAATAAATGGAAATTTTAAACTTTATCTATTAAAATTGTTAGGCCTAAATTACTTTTTTAAAATCATTTTTTTAAGTTAATTCTTCCAATCTATGCAAGAATTATTTAAATTTAATAACCTGATCTTATTTCTTCTTTAAATATCTGGGTAGTTTAAATCTAGAGTCATTTCAAGTTATTCATTAAGAAATAATTTATAATAGATCTCTCCAAAGAATTCTTAATGTTTCTATATATTTATTACTAAGCTTAAACCTCAACAATTTCATTTAAAATACGACATGTTTATCCAAGAGCTAACACTTCTTTTAAACTTAAAAACCCTGAGATTCTTTAATAAAATTCATAATGATAAAGAATGTTCGAAAATGTCTCAGCATTCAACTCAACTTATGTTAATGTTGTATAGCTTTTTTTACTCCTTAGATTCATTTATATTATATATTATTTATATATTATTATTTGATCTAAAATGCTAATAAGTATTGTAATATTCTATTCTACTTTATATATCATATAACTTGCACAACTAAAATGAAAATTGTATAAAAAGAGAGGAATCAAAATTTAAAAATAAACAAAATATGTAATTGCTTATTAACAATTTAATGATATTTCACTTTTTTTTGTATGCTATTTTTTCTGTTAACTGGGATGTTATTACATGTACAGTATCACAATCTGTAATTTTAGTACCTAAATACTCATTATCTTCAAGTAAAGTGGTCTCAAATCCTATATATAATCTATCAGGTGTTAAATTAATAACTTCACAGAGCTATTGCTTAAGTTATAACACTGTTTTAGTTTCTGCCCTAATATCTAAATCAACTGTCATTCCAGTCACGAATCTACAATATAATTTTTTTATTTCAGTCATTTTTTATATTATTTTTAATAATGGTTTTATATTCAATAACTTCCCCTTTAATATCTTGTAAAAGGGCTATTTATATTTCATTATTTTAATCTACTTAATGTCTTTTCCATAATTACAAAATCTTTTTTAATCGATTTAAGTTTATATTTGAATAATTTAATCATCCTTCTTAATCTATTAATTTTCTAAATGCATCATGGCTACTGTCTTCAAAAATATATGAATATTTCTTGAAGTTAAACAAATCTAAGGCCTATTTTTAAATATTGAACCATAAATATTTAATTAAATCTTTCAATTAAAAAATTAGTCAAAATATTTATCTTAACAATCATAGGCTTTTCTAGATGCATCCGATCCTCTATTATTAAAACTTATCATAATTCATTGATGTAATTAAGATTTCCTTTTTACTCACATTTAAATTTTGATTTTCTATTAAAAATCTTTAGATCTAATTCTATTAAAATTTAATAAAATTTCTACTAGCGGAAATTATGAATCTGTATACGTTGAACTTTTGATTCAAGTTTATTTAGATACTTTTTAATCGAAAATAGACTGACAATTCATATATAAATTTATTCTCAAATATAATGTTAATAAATTTGAGAATCAAAAATTCATTGACAAATTTAGTTCCTATTATTATTAAAATAAATCTAGCTCACTATGTTTCATAAATTATATTAGGCTAAATAGTTGTATTTTCAATGATTGAAAAATCACCTTTAATATCCTCAACTCTCAAGAAATCCATTATCTCAATAAATTAACATAAAACTATGATGCTTAAAGAATTTTCATTTGCTCAACTATAATTGTTTTCTGAATTAATAGGTAAAACTATATATTTTTCAATAAAATGAATCAAAATATTTTGAATGTCGCCTAATTATCTATTTATGAAAGTTTCCTACTTTTATTTAATTATTTGCTATAAATTAATCATATTTTAAAATTCTAATTTTATTCATAATCAAATAATTTCTACATAGATGTGGAGAAAGAAAATTTTTTAACTTCACCGATTTAATAAAATTATTATCATTCAATTCTAAATATAGATTAACACTAAACTATTATTCCTTATGATTGATTATATATAAAAATGTGTTCAATTCATCAGTGCTAATAATTTATTTTATTGAGTACAAATCCAGAAACTAAATATTCAATTAAAATTGACAGAATACTAAAAAAAATTAAGAAGAAGATCCTTAAAGATATCATAAAATAGATTTAGAATATTGAAATTTAATGAAAAAAGGAAATCCCCAATGAGTAAATTTTTAAAAGAGAAACAGAAATTATTAAAAATGGAACCTAATTTTATTCTAATTATAAAAACCAGAAATATTCAAAGAATAATAATTATCCAATTGTATTTAAGAAATTTAATTTTAAAAAGGAAAAATAAAATGAAAAACAATTTTATCAAGATTTATTCACTTAAGATATAATTATATAGGCTTAAGGTTGATAAATTTATGAATAAGTTTTGATTCTAAATTTATACTAAAAAAATAATTCAATTTTAGAAATGCAATAAGGATATATGATTCCATACGGAGGATTAATAAAAGATAAATTTGAAGAATTGATTTGTTGAATGACATGATAGATGATTAAAAATTAGTTTTGATAAAAGTCAAGATAAATAAAAGAAAGCTTTGATGTACTTAATGTTAAAGTTATGAAGATCAAATATATAAACTAAATATCAGAATGAACATTGGCAATAATATTGAAGCGAAGATATCTTCTTGGGTTTAGTTAAGGTGGTCAGAAGAATTTAATTTGTTTGAATTTGTAAATTATTTTCCACATTACCAACAAAGTTTACGAGCAGAATCCCATGTGTATGTATAATTAGTAGATTAAAAGCAAGTAGATGCTGTTAAAGAATCTATTTTTGTGTTTACACAAAGTTAACCAGTCATAGAACATATTTAATAATTCTTTTAAGAGAAATCTAAGATTGGTAAACAGAATCCTGTTTCTTTATATTTTGATGAACATGTATATTATGCACAAATAGTTTTGGTTGAATTTTCAGTCCATTAACAAATCCATGGTTTCTAAAGGCATGCTTCTTTATTAGTAGATGCATCTGAACATGATGTCATAAGTTTGCATTTTCCTACTCCATTTTCTAAATGCCAAACACATTCACCATCACTTCCACCTTATTTACATCCTTTTTCTGTCTCATATATTTCACATTTTGATTAATCAACACATCTTATTCCATTATCAACACATTTACTAATTTAAGAGCAATTCTTTTATAAATCTGAACATTTAATTAATTGGCATTTATTTTGTTTTGTATCAAATCTACATTTATTTATATTTTTATAACTTTATTTGGATTAATCATCAATTATGCTTTCTATTCCATATGCAATATCGCAAAATACTTTACTATAAGTTTCACATTTATCGATTGTAATACATTATTTACTGTCAGTTGTACAAGTATTTAATTATTAATTGCATTCATTATGTGTTGCAAATTTTAAATGAGAGCATACTAAATCAATACATTTATTATCATTTTCATCAAACTTACATTATTATTAGAGATTATTTAAATAACAATTTTCTTTTGTAGTATATGAAGAACATTCTTACAAATCAATACATTTTTTGTTATCTGTAGTACATTGTTTATTTATACTTTGACAATCTTGATGAGTTTGATATTCAAATTAATTACAATTTTTAAAAACTTTGCATTCATTTGTATTTGGTAAAAATACACATTATCCATCAGTTCCTACTTAGCATCCTAATTATGTTAGTTTTTCACATTTATCAATTGGAACACAAGTATTTCCATCAGTTGTACATTCATTATTAAATTTATAGCATTCTTCATGAGTTTAAAATTATAGAGATGTACAAGATGAATATTGATAACATGAATTTCCAATCCATAAACATGGTCCATCTGAACCTAAAAAGCAACCACTTTAAGATTTAGTATTGCATTATGATTAAGTAACACATGTTACTCCATCAGATGTGCAATTAGAATCTATTTTAACACATTGATAATGAGTTTTATATGCAAAATCTTAACAAATAGCTTCTCTGCATCCATCTTTATAAAATCTGCATAAATTTCCATATATATCAGTTGTACAAGCTTATGATATTTTAGCATCTTTACAAAGACCTTTAGTTATACATCCTCCAGATTATTTTGCAGTACATCCTTGTTTGTATAATTGGCATTCCATTTCAGTCTAAAATTAAGTGGGAGCACTTGAACAACTATAAACTACACATTTATTATTAATCCATCTACACTATTAACCAGTTGAATCAGTAACACAAGCCTATTCAATATAAGCATCTGAACATTCAGTTCTTAATACACATCCATTACCACTTGTTGTACATTCTTACATATAATTTTTACACTATTCATCAGTGGAATAATTTTAAGGAGCATCTGTACATAGTCTTAGATTGCAACTAGGAAAATATGTACAAGATTAATTGTTTTAATCAAAAACACATCCTTATTTAGTTGTGTATGAAGAACATGTATCAATTTAAATACATCCTTTGCCATTTGTTGTACATTTCTTACTATAAGATTGACATTCATCATGACTAGTATAAGTTTTATTAGCTTTATCACATGTTTTATTTATGCAGACATCATTATACCAAATGCATTCAGATTCAGATTTTGTTTTTCTACAATTTACTTCATTATCATATTCATTGCATTTTTCATAACGTTTAATGCATCCAGTTTTAGAATTATTTACTGTGCAAATTCCTAAAAATTGATTACATTCTTCATCACTTGTCATTTAATTTGAATTTTCACAAGATCTTACTTCACAAATATTTGGAATAACTTTCTAATTCCAAACACATTTACCTTCTGATAAACTTTCAATACACATTAATTCATTAGTATATCCATTACATTTATTTTGTTTAGTTATACATCCATTATATTAGGTACCATCAAAATTTACAGTACATGTTTATAAAAATGTATTACAAGCTTTAAATGAATAATAAAATACTTAAGTACATTATCTTATTACACATTATTATCCATTCCAAAAACAAAATGATCCTGAACTAGTTATAGAACATTAGTGTTCTAATAATTCTGTGCAAGTTGCCTTACGATTAACACAACCTTTCTTTTAATTACTAATCATGCATCCATCTAAATAATTTGTACATTCTTCATCTGATTGTATCTCTAAACTAGCAGTAGAACAGCTCTTTTAGACGCATTATTCATCAATCCATAAACATTCAGTTTTATTATTCCCTGTTAAGTAACATTAATCTTTCTTTTTGTAAACATTGCAAACTTTTTCCAAAATTTGACATCCATTTAAATTTGAATTCACTGTACAGCTGCTTAACCATTATTAGCATTCTTAATGTGTGGTTAATTCTTTACTAGCATTTTCACATGTTTTTAATGTACAGGAACCACTCCAAATACATTTTTTGTTTTGATAATCAACACTACATAGATTTTCAGTAGGATATGTTGAACAGGTTTTTAGAGTGCATTAATTATTAACAGCAGTGCATGATGAAAGAAATTCGCTACAAGATAGTAAATCATATTTATTAAGGACAGCATTGTGACATAAATTATCAACACATTTGGTTCCATTCCAATAACATGTTGTTTTTCCATCTAATACAATCACACATTGATTTTAAGTTGTGTAAGAAGAACAAGTTTCCAATCTCTTAATACAACCATTATTAGTATTATTCACAGTACAATCACTTTTGAATTGTTGACATAAAGTGTCAGTAGAATATGAAGGTTCAGCATTTTCACAAGTCCATTATTTGCATCGTGAAATAGGCTAACATTATTAATCATCATCATTACAAGTTAGAATAGACCAAAAGCATAGATGTTCATTAATTTAAATGCATTATGGTTCAGTAGAATATTCTTCACATGATGATGGCATATCCATACATCCTTTATTATCACTATTCAAAGAACATGAACCTAAATAAGTTTGACATTATTCATGGGTTATATAAGATGTAGGAGCATTAATACAAATTTTATCTTTACAAGTAGATCCATCCCAAAAACAAGGGCTGTTAAATATATTCACCACACATCCTTTCTTTTCTTATATTTTGCAATCTGTTCCTATATCTATACAACCTCCTCCTTCTTTAGTTGTACATTATAATTACTTCTTTTATCCTGCTTCATAACAAGATTCATGAGTAGAGTAGGATAAGGGTAATTCATTACATTTCTATATCTCATAACATTTCTTTATTTCATTATTCCAATAACATGGAAAGCCATCCAAATTCGATTAACAAGCTATCTAATTCTCATTGAAATTATCACATATCAATTCTATTTAAATACAGTGTTCACCATTTGATGAACATAAATGACTAATTTATTAACATAATTCATGAGTTTTTGCTTAATACACTGTACAACCACTAAATGGTTTACAAATTCTTTCTTAAAAAGCACATCCAATCTACACTGAACAATCTGCAGAGTTTACTTAACAATATGACCACAAATCTACAGATTTACTATCTTCACAAACACCTTAAGTGTTGTTCCATTCACATTTAATTGATTAAACACAGTCATTATAACTCAGAATTTAATTACAAGTACAAAAATCCCCTTTTGGTAAACTCTCTAAACAACTTATTAAAAGTAAGCTTAAGAGTAGTAACATCATATTTTTCATTTATAAAATAATAATATAACTAAATTCAAATTTCTTTATGACTTCTTAAAATATGTTTGTTTAATGTTTATTTATGAGCAAAATGCTTATTACACTTCTCGCAAGTAAATGCTCTTATATTTTTGTGTCTTATCAAATTATGCTTCTTCAAGGATCTCAATCTCATAAATACTCTACTACATTTTTAACACATAAAGAATTCATTCTAACTATTCTATTATTTTTTATGATGATCCTATTAATGCTTTTTTAATTAACGTTTCTTTGTAAACTTTTATTCACATTCATTACATTCATACGACTTCATTTCATGAATTAATTGCTTATGTCTTTTCAAATGATGTTTACATGTAAACTTTTATGGACAACCTCAATCTCAAATCTATTTAGTACTTTCACATTCAAATGGTCGACTTCCACTATGAGTTAATTGATGTCTTTTCAAATGCTAAGAACGTTTAAACTCTTTTCCACATTATTCACATCGAAATTGCTTCAAATTTTAATGGATCTCTCTTATATGTCTTTAAAGTTTTGAATTATTAGTAAAAACTTTTTTACATTCTTCACAAGTTGGCTAATGTTCAGGTTCATCCAAAGGCTCAATTATTTCTTCTTCTTAACAATTTTATAATTTGTTTAACTTCTAAAAAATTGGTAATGTGAAAACTTCCATTAATTATTTATTTATTATTTATCTATTATATTTATTTTAATTCTTAAATTTATTCCATTTTTTAAGTTTGTTATTAATACAATTTTATATAAACATACTTCAAAAATATGAGTAATAAAAATCATCTAAACAATCAGGTTAAATTAAAAACGGATGCTTTTAAGTTCCTACTCCAATTGCTTTAATTTCAATCCAAACTTCTTTCCATTTATCTTAACCTACAATTTATGGAAATGCCACACTATCTCTTCCTTTAACTTTAACCCATCTATTCAAACATTGATCAAATACACCCCCATTACCTCCTTTTTTGAGACCTGATATTGTCCACTTACAATCACGAAATAACAATTCTCTTACCAAAACAGATGGATTGATTCCTAATGCTCTATAAGGACACATATCACATTTCACATCTTTCATAATTCGTTAAAAGTTAAAGGTACCAAAACCAATAGGAAATACAATTTCTCTTTGAAAGTTTATACATTTAGAATTTATGCAAACAGCCTATGTTAATTCATTTTTTACTTCTAAAGTTAAACCTTCAACTTCAAATGGTTAGATTTAGCCAGGATGAAATGGAACAAGATCCAAATCTGTAACACGAAATCTTTCTATTGGTTTTTAAAATGTCTTTGCCATCGTAACTCTACCAATAGTTTTTGTTTATATAGTCTCTACATTGGCAAATAATTATTAGTTATCATTTGTGATTCCTAATTGTTTTAGTGTTTTTGCTTCATCTAATTTAATAGTTTTGTAAGTTTCTTAGAAACTGATTCTTGTTCTGAAAATATCCAATGCTATATTCTAAAAAATAAGAATACTTAATTCTTCAGCAAGTAAATTAGCAATTTCTTTTAATGTAGTATGAATGCCTACAGAGATTTTGATCTTTTGTTTAGTTGCATTAAGAATAAGTGTTAAATCAATCTAACGATTGGGTTCTTTTTTTAGCATTATTAAAATTAAAATGGATAGCATATATAAGACAGCAAATATTAAAGATTTTTATAAATTAGATAAAATATTGGGAGAGGGTAGTTATGCAATAGTAAGAAAAGCAATACGAAAAAGTGATAATTTAGAAGTTGCTGTAAAAATAATTGACAAGTAAATTATTAGATTAATTTTTATTAGAGCATCTTTAGAAAGTGATGATCATTTAGCTATTTAAAGTGAAGTTGAAATAATGAGTTAGATTGATCATCCAAATATTGTTAAAGTTTTGGAAGTATTCGATGATAAATAGAAACTTTACATAGTACTTGAATTAATGACGGGTGGCGAGCTTTTTGATCGAATAGTTGAAAAGGAATTATATAATGAAAAAGAAGCAGCAGATGTAATTAGACCAGTTGTTGATGCAATAAGATGTAATTAATAATAATATATTTTAGATTGTCATTCTATGGGTGTTGTACATAGAGATCTAAAACCTGAAAATATTCTTTATACAACTCCAGATCCGGATGCTACTGTAAAGATATCAGATTTTGGAGTAGCAAAAGTAATATCTGATGAATTAATGCTTACAGCTTGTGGTACTCCTGGTTATGTTGCACCTGAAATTCTAACAGGTTTGGGATATGATATGGCTGTTGATTATTGGAGCATTGGAGTTATCCTATATGTATTGTATTGATATTGGATTTATTAAATTTTAACTAGGTTATGTGGATATCCACCGTTTTATGAAGAATCAAATGAAAAATTATTTGAGTAGATCAAATCTGGTAAGGTAGATTTCTCAGGAGAATAATGGGAAAAAATATCTAAGGAAGCAAAAGATTTAATTGAAAAACTTTTAAAGGTTGACCCAAAATAAAGATATAAAGCAGATTAAATTTGCAAACATCCATGGATTACTGGTGAAAAAGCATTGACTAAAGATTTATCTGATGTAACTGAAAAATTAAGAGAGTTAAATGCACGTAGAAAATTAAGAGTAATTATTTTATATTATAATTTATTTAGCGTGCTTAATTAATGGTTTTGGCTACAACTAAACTACAAAGACGCATTTAATAACATTAACAAAAAAGTTGATTTATTATCTATATCTATTAAATTTATCCATCTATTTCTTTTTATTCTATTTTTTTTACTTCATTATTAATTAATACTTATATATATTCATCATTTTTATTAATTATTTAATGAATATGTACCATTTACATTCATTAATAAAACTGAATACTAATCCTTTTGATAATTAGGTAGTATTATAATTAGTTTTTAATTATTTTTGAGTACAAAAATAAAAATATTTTTTTTGTTTTATAATTTCTGTTTAATTTTGATAATTCTTTAAATTAAATTCTAATCACATCAAAAAACTTTAAAATATACTCAAAAAAGATATTTGTTTTAAAATATCTTTTGATGATCAAAATACAAAATATTGTATGAAAAAATACGGTGTTCTGATTTTCCATGTCCTTCTGATTTAAATTTTTAGATTTTAGAATTTTTAAATGGTTTACTTCAAAAAAATCCTTAAAATAGAATGTTTATTTCAAAAATAAAAATACATCCATTTATTTTGTATTATATTTAAATCTATCATTTATAGTAAATATTCATAATCAATAATTCTGTAGAAGACTTTGGCTAATGATTTTGAAATTTGTGAAATAATTAGTAATGGTTGTTGGTATTGATAATTAAAAATGTAGAGAGATGATTTAAAATAACAAACATAGTGCAACAACTATATCTTATCATCTATTAAACATTTACTAAAAATTTTAATCCTTATAAACTTAAAGACTTTGAACTCATTAAAGTATAAAATTTGCAATAGAAAAACCAAACTAATCTACCCAACATCGCTCAAACCCAAGTATAGCAATAAAATTACATTTTGCTATTTTTCGTTTATTTTTTAGTTAGTCAAACTCTAATACTTAAGAATTTAAAATTAATCTCATATCATAAAAAAATAAAATCTTATCAAACTCAGATATAAATACCTAGATGTTTAAAAATAGAATTTTAGAAAAGACCTAAATCAACAGAGAGAAGATTAATTACAGACTAAGAGCGATGGGAAAAAAACAAGATTAATCATGAATTGAAAGAAAAAAATATTTCTTATAAATCATATGTTTCAAAATCAAGTAAATCACCTATTATTTATATTGAATACAAGTTAAAACAGAATTATGTGATTAAATATGATTACTAAAGTATATTAAAAAAAACAATAATAAAATTTTTACAATTAAATACTATATAAATCGACTACATTATGCTTTAAGAATAAATAAAATCCTTAAGTTCATTTCCCAATCTCTCAACTCTTTGTAAAAAAGATTAAAAACAGAAATAATCTTTAGAAAAATTGTTAAAGCATAAACCAAATGTAGTTAAGAGTTTAGATATCTATGCTTAAAATATAGAAGAATACCTGAAAGATTAGAGAAAGAGAATTGCTTATTTAAAAAAAAGAGAAGAACCCTATTATGATTCTAAACCGATCTAAGCTTATGATGAGGCACTAATTATGTAATTCAATAGAGTTAAGGCTAAACAATATTATTTGCAACAATCCCAAAAAAAAATATCATAACAACCCTCTCCTGAGTAATAACGTAATAGAACCCCATCTAAATATTTCGATAAGAATTATACTCCTTTGAAAAGAAATGAAAAATTTGATATTCCATCTCTTTAACCTATAAATGTTTCACCTCCAAAAGAACTTAAACCAATTTAATTTAGAGTAAAATTTAACATTTATTAAGATAGTATAATTATACGATGTAATTAAATGATCCAATTCTTAAACAAGTTCTTAGTACTCGTTAATAATGGATAGAAGTTCCAAATAATTCATTTTCTCATCTATAATGGTTAACTTAACTCTTAGATTTTAGTAATCTTATAAAATAAGATGCTGTTTCTAAGAGATAAATGGTTAATTTAATGGAGTTTTAGCATGAATGGTCAGCTAAATCATAATTATATATTTGTCTATGTTCCATTTCACCAGAATAAGCATTAAAAGTATTACCAACAGGATTTGTTTTAAATTTTAAAATATCATAATGGGTTGAAGATTTAGATTTTATTTAAGATTATTTTATTGCTAATCACCCTGAAAAAGAAAAATAATAAAAATTTCCATTTTCTGTTTATATCCCTAATAAAGGTGGTTTAACATTTAATAAATAAATTTCAAAACTAATTTAAGATATTCCAAAGTTATGGATATGTAAATCAGCCCTAGGAAATGGTGCTAAGTTAATTCATAACATTGATTAATTATAATAATTTTTAATACAATAATACAAAGAATCAAAAGAGTTTGTGATTTAAAAGTATATAACAAATCCACTTTTATATGATGGAAAGAAATTTGATGTTTAAATCAATGTATTAGTTAATTAAGATAATTAAATTTATATTTCATCAGAACCAACAGGAAGGTGTTGTACTCTTAATTATGATCTTAATTCGGTAATCAATTTAATTTAAATTATTTAGGAAGATCCTTTTGTTCATACAAAACCAAAATAAGCTATTTCTCATAAAAACTTAGTAGAGTTTTTAGAATCTTAAGGGATTCCTTTAAAAGATTTTATAAATTAAATTAAGGCTTCAATTTCTTTGATTCCTTGTAAATTAAATAGACGATAAAGAAAATATTGTATGTAAATTTTCGGCTTTGATTATTTAATTGATGAAACCAAAAAAATTTATTTAATTGGAATAAATGCAAATCCAACTTATAGTTTTATAGAATTAGATGGGGCTTTTAGATTAACTTTAGATAAAATTTTTCCAATCAATAATAAACTGGAAGAAAAATCTGTCTGGATATCCCTAATTTGATATTTTTTGAAAAGAAATATAAATTAAATTTATTTTTACATATTAAATATAATTCTGAAAAAAAATGCAATAAAGTAAATTAATTACAATTACCATCAAAAAAAGTATAACAACTAATTAAACCAGAATTCAGAAGAAGGAGATAAAAGGTATGTCATTTTTATTTTTTGTCAATTTGTAGATTATTATAAAGTAGAGATTATGAATCAAAAATTATTGTAATGATAGTAAATAAAAATACAAGAAGATAATTTTTATGAGCTATTCAAATTATGATAAGTTTAGAAAAGTGAATGAACATAAAATCTAAATGTTTAAAATGAGAAAAATAAACCTTAATTTTAAAGAAATTTATTTAGAAATGATAATATTATCACCTTTAATTGAATATATTACATAATGATTGATAATTTATCATTATTTATTGAATCTGGTTTTTAAATTTTCCCAAATGCCTCCAGCTTTTTCTTTAACAGTTCCAAATGTTTCCATAGTTTTTTCAGTTGCAAAATTAAACATGCTCTTGAATTAATCCATTTCTAAAATAAAACTTAAATATACTTTATGAAGAATCTTCTGAATCCTCTTCTTTTTCTCCAAAAAATTGTTTACTTGAAATAGCAGTCTATCCATTAAATTTATAAATATTTTATTTGTTTTACTCACTAATGATAATAATTATTAATTAAATACTTATCTTAGGATTAGAATAAAGTTTCAGATGAAATTGATTTTACATTCTTGTCTTTTAATTTTTCTAAAGTTTCATTAGTTTATGTAATCGGTTAAGTTGGTTATTGAGTTTATTTAATAATCACTTTTGGTTCATCTTATTGTGGTATTTCTGCATTATTTGAATCAGATTTGAATGGATCATTATTGAATGGATTTGAAAATGGATCATCAAATTATAAAGAATCAAAGTCTACATCAGCTAATTTTTTGCCTTAAACAGCTTTTCCTTGAACAGCCTGAGGTTTGGCATTATCAGCGAATACAATTTTATTGCTTTTCTTTGTTACTATTGCTTCTTCTTATAACAAATTGTTTTAAAAAACATTCTTTGTTTATTCTTTTACTGGGGATTCCTCTTCTTTATTTTAAGCTGGTTTTTCAGATGTTTGAACAATTTTAGCAGGACTTGGAATAAGTGATGGACGAATTATGTTCAGCTTTTCTTCACACAAGGCTAATACACTTAATCTTTGTACTTATTTAAGAAGTTCTTATTTGTATTTTTCAACTAAAGGACTCTTATAATCAATTTGACTACATCCTGGACCTATTAAACCTACACTTTAAAAATATTCCAAGGCTTTTTCATTACCTCCTACTTGTAAGAATGTAATTTATTTTCTAGACCAAGAATCTAATGTAAGAGATCTAAAATTATATCATATTTTAACCTAGCAAATGTATAACGAACTCCGTATTCTCTATGTTTACCAGAACAATCTATACATAAAAATAAACCTAATGTAACGGATGCCCATTTAGTATTTTTTTTTCCACAATCAATGCATTTCTAAAAATATTCAAAATTTATTATTTACATCATTTCCTTAAACTTATTTCAATTATTTTATTATTTAATCTCTTTCTGCATCATCAATCTTTATAAATATAAATTAAAATTTACAATCTAATTCTCCATATTTAATTGGATTTCTAAACTATTTTATAACAATATTTATAAAAATAACTCTTTTTATTTCTGAACTTGAAAACTAAAAAAAACTGAAAAAATTATTTTAATTGTTTTAATTAATACCTAATTTTGTCTGAACATATTTATTACTTTAGTTTTCTTTTTAAGGATATT